GTCATACTCAATGGCACTTAACAACAACAATAATGCATGGGAATGATTGTATGAAACACAATATGAATGAAGAACAGTGTAAAACACAATGTATATAAACTTTGTGAACTTAATTTATATAAAATAAAAAAAAAATTCAATGATGCAGGAAGCAGCATCAAAAGAAGATGGAAGGAATATAGGTGTTGGATCAGAAAGAGCTGGTTGATCTCCTGAACCAATTCAGGAAGGAGCACAGGATCAAGAACCAAGGGTACTCGAGGAAGAAGTCCAAAGTACACTGAGGGAAATGATAGCAAAAGGCCCCAGAAATTGACATGTTTCAGAAAGCAATGCACCCCTAGGCAGCTTACTAATCTCTACCAAGAAATAGGGAAGATAGTTACCTTAGCAATCCACTGGAAAAGATCCTTCTCTGTTCCCATTCCCAAGAAAGGTGATTCAACAGAATGTGGAAATTAGCAAACAATATCATCAATATCACATATAAGCAAAACATTGTTCAAGATTATTAAAAATCGGGGAGCTCTGGTGGCCTAGTGGTAAGGAGCTGCAACTACAATTCCAGAGGCACATGGTTCGAATCCACCAGATGATCTGCCAAGGAAGGAGGGACAATCTCCTCCTGTACCAGTCAGATCTGATTTGATGGTACACTCACACAAAAACAATAAAGTAAAAAAAAAAATAATAAAAAAAAATTATTAAAAATCAGCAGGAATAATGCATCAACAGGGAACTATCAGAAATCCAAGCCAGATTCAGAAAAGGCCACTGCACCAGGGTTATCACTGCTAATGTCAGATGCATCTTGGTTGAAATTAAAGAATGCCAGATAAGTGTGTTTATCGACTATGCAAAAGCATTTGACCGTGTGAATCCTAACAAATTGTGGATAACACTGAAAGGAATGGTAATCCAAGAACACTTAATTGTGCCCAAGTGAAACCTACGCCTAGACCATGAAGCAGCTGTCCAAACAGCGTAAGGGGGACACTGACTAAGGTGCCCTGGCATTCTCTACAGCGTCCTATGCATCTGAAGGGTGGACAATGAATACAGAAGACTGATTACTGTGGCGTCAGAGAAGAATATTGGATACATACCACAGATTGCCAAAAGAATAAACAAGCCTGTCTCAGACGAAGTGCAACCAATGTGCCCTTAGAGGCCAAGAATGATGAAACGGTCTCATACATTTGGCCTCTTGTAAGGAGTTCTCGGAAAAAGACATCATGCTGGGAAAAGCAGAGGGTCAGCACAAGGAAGACTCTCCATGACGTGGACTGACGCAATGACCCTGATGGGCCTGAGCATGAAGACATTCTGATGAGCAGAACAGGGCAGCGTCCAGGTGGCTACAGTGTCACCGCGGTGTGGTCTATTCAATGGCACCCAGCACCACTTCACTGCTTCACAGATCTGCTAATGACATGAGCCCAGTGACAAGCGTCCAGGTTCTCAAGAAGCTGATGTTCTTCCTCAGTTTAGGAAGCAACGTGGCACTGTTCTGAATGAAACTCCTCCATGTCCAGCAAATGACGTCCTTCAACAATGGAGTACTGATGGGGTGGCCTGCCTGTGAGTGGGGTCTCACTCTAGTGACCACAAATGTCCTCCAGAGAGCCAGCCATTTCCTCCCACACTGCAGGTGATGGACCTTACCACCTAGCTGAAAAACCCAAAACCTCAAGAGTGGCTTTAAGTGCAGCTTGCCGTAAGTGGGGCTGTGGGGCTGTCAGAGGCCTGTCTGCTGCTCTCTGGGCACAGGGAGTTCCCACTCTTCTGGGGAATACCTGAAGCATGACTGCTGGCTCTCTTGACGATCACGTGTAACTTGTGGGGTTTGTCATTTGTCTGTCTTGATGAAGTATCTGTTTCAACTCTGGGCCCAGTTTTTCATTGTACTGCCTTATTGTTGAGTTCTATATGCTCTTTGTGTAGTTTTATGTAGCATGAAGTCTGCTATCAACTGTGTGATGGGTTGTAAATATCGCCTCGCTCAGCAGCATCCCACAATTTTTAATTAATGAAGGCCAAATTATCAGCTTCTTCCTTTGTGGGTTGTGCTGCTGGCACTGTCTGAAAGTCAGGACCAGACTCAAGGTCATCCAGACTTCCATCAATGTGTCCTGGTAGAAGCTGTGGAGTCTGGTGACATCAGGTCTACTCACAACCTACTCAGAGTTAATTTTTCAGACCCTGGTCTCTGGTACATAAGCAGTGTCTTCTGGAGTCAAACAACTTTCCCTCTCTGTTGCCAGCCTTTGCTCCCTTGTCAAAGACCAGTTGACTCCACTCAGGGGTCTGTGCTGGCCCTGGTCTCCACTCTTTCCTAGCACCGTACCATCTGTATCTGCAGCCTTATCTCCCTCCCACCTGTACTCAAGACTGTGCACACACTACATTTATTTTTTTAATATTTAAATTCTTTTTCATGTGTACCGTCAAATCGGATCTGACTGGTATAGGAGGAGATTGTCCCTTCTTCTCCAGCAGAGCATCTGGTGGATTCAAACCACATGCCTCTGGGATTGCAATGCAGCTTCTTGCTCCTAGGCCACCAGAGTTCCCTCACACATTACATTCTTAAAGGCCCTTTAAACATGTAACTGCCCAGATGGGATCAGCAGAAAAAGGCCTGACAGTGCAGACCCCAGGGGCAGCCACATCCTAGAGGCACAGTGAGGGAGGGAGGCTGCAGGCCAGAGGGTGATGGGAACACTTTCCACCCGGAGTCAGCAGTGAACACACAGGTGTTCCTGAGCTGTACATCTAAAGTACTCATTTTAATTTATTGAAATTAAACCTCAACAAAACTGATTTAAGAGGAAAAGCAAAATATGGGAAGCCAAACTTTATACCAAACATTAGATGAAAACTCTTGTTCAGGAATTGCAGGAATTACATATTTATAAATTAGGATTTCTCTTGTGGCAGATCACAGAAAATGAGCTGTTTGTTCCCTGCAGACAGGAAACAGCTGGGTTCCCCCTACAGAAGGAGTGTTACTACCTGTGAAATACTTCCTGAGCTAGGGCATTAGGTTGACAATAGAGAAAAATTCAGCTTCATTTATAAGGAATTCCTTTTATTATTTGCTTCCCCTGATTATCAGTAAATACACAGAGAAACATGACTTGGGGTCTTCAGTCAAGAACTGCTGGCTCCCTGTTTTATGCTCTCTGCTCTATCTCATTCCTGGCTGTTTGTCTCATTATTAATAATTATAAAATTATTCCATCATTTGGGACCCTCGGTCTGCAACAGCAAAACCCATCTCCTACATGACAGAACTCACTGACCATAAAAATATGATGCACAGCTGTGGTGGGCAGGAAGGCCCTACAGGGCTGCTAGCAGGCCCCCTGGGGACAGCAGTGGTTCAGGGAGGCTGGGCTTGGATAGGGCAGCCCCAGCACAGGGACATGACCACCACAGGGGCCACTGCTCTGGGACAGCATAAGGGAGCGCAAGTGAGACATTGAGCAGCAGCAGTTTTAGGCACCACCTACATAGGATCAAGTCAGGGAAGGTTAGGGCCGGGGCCCCTGTGGTGCATCTAAAGGGACAAGGGTCAGAGAATATAGGCAAAAAGACACTGATGCCTCCCTCATCCCTGACAAGACTTGCAGAACAGAAAGTGCCCTCAGGAACCTGGAGCTCCGTGGTGCCAGAAAGGACAGGCTGAGACTGGAGCCCTGCAGCGCACTGACCTCACTCACCAGGGCACTGCCCACAAGTTCTCCACATGCCACAGAGCTCCCAGCCCCGAAAGCTGGTCTCCAGTGTAGACCCAGGCTTGGCAGAAGTCAGTGTGCTTCACCTGGCTGTGCTCTGCCCTCACACCCTGCAAGTGTCCCATGAAGGGTGACCAGTTGTCTGGCCTCAGGGCTGTGCTCATTCCTGGGGCACTTCCGGAGGACACCAAGTCCTGTACCCTCAGTGCCCCACCCAACACACGTGATGTTGTGCTTGGAGGTTCCCTTTAGGGACGTGGGCAGAATGCTAACTGCACTGTTTTCCAATATGCTACAGACTCAGAGTCCCCAGGGTGATGTCTACAAGGACCAGGCACAGCAATGGCACAGCCAGGCTCCAGTCTGGGTGTCCAGCCAGCACAATTTCCTCCATTTCTAGATGTTAATTACTCACAAGCTCCTTGTGCCTGTGGCTCTAACCGTGACCCAGCCCTGGGGCCTGAGGAAGACAGACAGATACAGAGGACAGACACAGAGAGGGGCCAGAGAGGCACACATAGAGGAATGACAGGGAGGAAACAGGCACAGAGGACAGGACAGGACACAGCAGGGGCATCCTCATGACAAGCACTGGAACGGCAGGGGCAGCCTGGCTGGGGCCTGGAGGCCCAGCGATCAGCAGGTGCTATGTCAGGGAGAGGGCTTTATGAGGAGAGTGTATGGCACACAGAGCAGGCCCAGGAGAGGCTTCCCACTACTGCCCCTCTCAGCTAGTGCTGGCAGTGTCGGCAGGAGGAGCGCAGAGGCAGGTGCAGGGCAGTCCTGCAGGGCTTGCCCACCAAGCAAACCTCACCTGACCCATACATACACTCGGCTTTTGTCCCACCTGGCTGCAACCTCTGGCCATCCCTGCAGAGCCCTGGTTAGGAAGCAGCCCTGGGCAGATGCTGTGTGAAGCCAGCAGGAACGTGGGGGTGGGACAGTCAAGCTGGTCGGTCAGCTGCTCACCAAAGGTCTGAAAGGGGGTCAGTTTCAGCGAGGGCTTGCAGTCAGCACCGCTAACAGAGTCCAGCCAGCCAGAGGCCACCACTTGGGATCACGAACCTACCCCAGAGACCCCAAGTTTAGGAGCAGTCCCAGGAGGTACACCAGCTCTGCCTCAAGAGAGCAGCAGCATGTGAGAGGGAAGGAGGGGGAGGCTACTCCAGAAAACATCACCCTCTAAGGGGCGTTTCCCAAGCATCCAAGGGGGTGGTGGCCTGAGAGCCCCTAGCCCATGCACCATGGCAGGACCCTCACCTCTTGGTGTTGTAGGCTGTGTCCTGGGGCGTCTCCTCCAGCAGGGTAACGTAGCCAAGTGCACAGGTGAGGATGAACAGCACAGTCAGGGTGTGGGCTCGCCTGCAGGGGACACACAGGGTGGAGGAGGTCAGAGGTGGAGAGGGTGCCAAGTGCCACACGACACCTGCACAGCTGAGCTCTGTCTACCAAGCAGTGCCCGAGTAAGCGTGTGCAGAGGACAAGAGTCCAGGCTGCTGGTGAACGGATGGGCAACCAGGACATGCTGGGGCTGCTACAAGGCAAGGCGGGCTCTATGTACCTGGGGGCCCAACATGCCAGTCAACCACAGGGGTCAGGTGGGCCCAGGCCTGAATGTGGACACGGCCGGGCATGCCTCACCTCCTAGTCCACCACGAGGAGGACAGAGCCATTGACACAAGACCTGCTCTTGATCCCAAACTACAAGTGTCATTGGAAAGTTCTCTGTCTCTTGAGCCTAGCTCCCTGTGAGGACAGGCAGTGTCCCTGGTTCCCAGGACAGTAATAGAAGTGATTCACACACAGATGGTGCTTCTCACAGTGCACCACTCAACACCAGTCCCAGCCTTCCCTCACAATGTCACCAAACAGCGGTGCTTAAAAACAGGAGTCAAATTGTAAACAAAATGAAAAAAAAAAAGCCTCAAACCAGGAGCAAATAGTCACAATGCACATGTATGACAAAAGGTCTAGGCAGAACAGCTCTTACAACTCCGTAACAAGATCAGAGGAAGACGCAAGCAGAAAGTTCACAGAAGAAATACAAGAGACCAAAGAGCATTTGAAAAGACCTACAGTGTTGTTAGCTGTAATGAAAGTAAAGCAAAACCTCAGTAAGGAAACACCCTACACCCTCCTGAGCAGCTGAAACTCAGAAGACCGTCAGACCCTGCCTGGCAGGCCACCTGGCACCTGGACCCTCCTTGCACGGCGGTGGGGATGGAAAAGGGTGCACAGCCACTCCTGACATGCTCAGACTTCTTGGTCTGGAGGGATCTGGGGACAACACGGCTGAGGAAAGGGCCCACAGACTGACCTGGCATGTACACAGCCAGGAGGCCACCACTGGAGCTTGGGGAGGTGGTGGCCCTGGGCCCATCCCTGTCCACCTGAGGGCAGCAGTGTCTGTAGGGAGACAGGGATGGAACCCATTGGAGAGAGGAGTGGTGAGACAGGGACCAGCTGTTATGCCCATGCACGCACAGGACAAGGCCAAGCTAACACAAAGGTATGGAGGGACTCAGCTCACAAGACACAGCTCTGCATGTGGCCATGGCCCAGGTAGGAGGGGCAAGGAGGTCACTCCCCCATGCAGCACCCTGGACAGGGTCAAGTCCCATCAGCTCTGGGACTTCCAGTACAGAAAGATGTGATGGTGTGATGCTTGCTCCCAAATTTTTCATTTCTTTAACCCACTTCCACATGAAAAGCAATCTGCTACCTGCCCAGGAGATGGTACAGGGAGTTTGGAGGCCAGGGCGCTTGGGCAACAGGGAGCTCGGAGGACACGACATTCAGGGACAGGGCGCTTGAAGCCATGGAGCTAAGAGGACAGGGCACTGGGAGGACAGAGAGCTGAGAGGACGAGGTAAGGGGGACAGGGAACTCGGAGGATGGTGTGCTTGGACACTCGGGGGATGTGGCACTTGGAAGCCACGGAGCTTGGAGGACAGGGTGTTTGGAAGCCACGGAGCTGGGGTCAGGGTGTTTGGAAGACAGGGCATTCAGAAGACAGGATGCCTAGAAAACAGGGCATCCAGAGGACAGGGCACTTGGAGGACAGGGTGCCCATATCAGTGCTTGCTTGCGCTGAGTGCTGTGTGTCCCGCGCCATCTGCTACCACACCCCTGTCCCAAACAATGGAATAATGGTTCAGGTCTGTCCACAGCCTCTGAGCACTTCCAGAAGCACAGGCTCTGTGAAAAGGAGTGCCATATGACCAAGTTTAAAACATGTCACAGCAACCTGTGGCACCAGGTGCTAGTCCCATACACCGAAGGTCAGGGCTGGGAACAGGTGGACAGATGCTCCTACTGGCCAGAGACAGACAAACTGTTGTGAGTCTCAGGAGAGATTCACAGAGGTTGGCCCTACTTCCTGATGGAAATTGCCATTTTTCATGCCTGAGAGATAACGACACTTGCTATGTTAAGGAGACCATCAGACAAGACGGACCATGAAGGAACTGGCCAGGGGACTAGGTGTGCAAGGACAACCCAGAAAAAAGGACAGAGTCCTACTGACCAGGACAAAATGGCTTTAGACACTCAGGGACCAGAGGGGCTGGAAAAGCACTAACTTCATGGTCTAGTGGGCTCTCTGTGCCCCAGGAAGTATAACCCTATGAAAATGAACCCCAGAGCTTACTCCCTCACCTAGGCACCACTCTCAGGACTAGGGGCTGTTTCCCAGCAGTGCAGGTTAGTCTACTCACAGGACAGTCATGAGCTGCTCTGAGACTCAAGTCTCTAGGTCACGAGAATGTCCAGTCTCGAGCCAGCACAAGCACAATCATGGGGACACATCGTCTCCCACTCAGATCCCTTGGAGCACACATTTCCACTGAACCCCCTTAGGAGGTCAGGGCTCAGGGCTGTCTGCTTCCTCTACGCTATCAGACAAGCATCTCCAGGCAACTCTGAAACCTCAGAGCCAGGGACCCCAGACAATGCTGTGACAGAGTCTAAGACGGGAGCCCCACATCCTTCAGCCGTGACCCTTGACCCCAGACCTAAGGAGGACCTCTGCAAACGGAAATGCACCTCAAGACCCCTGAAAGACATGTCAGAGCACAGAAATGCAAACCCTTCCAGGGCTACATAACAGCCCCAACTTCTGCCCATGATAACCGCAACACCAAGGCCACACAGAAGGGCCCCTCAAACTGGGCCATGAAGGTATTTTCACCAATCTATACTATTGCCATCAATCTTTACCTATGTTACTCTTTTTCTTGTAATCTTTTTACTTGTTTTTTTTTTTCTTTTCTCATTGTTGTGTACCATCGGATCAGAGCCAACTGGTACAGGAGGAGACTGCCCTGCCTCCACCAGAGCATCTGGTGGATTCGAACTGCACACCTTTCGGAACTGCAGTGTAGCTTCTTGCCACTAGGCCACCAGAGTTCCCTCTTATGTTACTCTTTAAAATGTAACAATTGTTATTAAAACTCTCTAAATTGCTGAAATCAATTTTAACCCTTACCCAGAAATCACTGAGGGATTTTGAGAAAAAGATGAAAAGTCATCTCGCCAAGCAGTGCCGACAGCCACTGCCAGGTGTCCCATGTGTGACAATGCCACCAGTTCACCACGGCTCCCAACTGCCACAGGCCATCCAGGCAAGCCTTGCTAAGGTCAGGGATCCACGTACCTGCATCTCCCCTAGAACAGGGAGCCACATACTCATGACCCTCTCCCCCCAGGATCAGGGACCTGCCCACATACATTCCCACCAGACAGGGAACCCATGCACTCATCTCCATGCTCTCACACCAAGGGCCCCTGAACTGGAAACCTGGGTAGTCACCTCCCTCTAGATCAGAGACTCACAAGTTCATCTCTCTGCCTCAGACCAGGGGGACCCATGTCCACTTAACTAGGAACCTATGCGCTCATCCCCCAAGGGACAAGGACTTATACATCCACATCTCCAACTCCCCCTGGACCCAAGAGTCCACAAAGCCTTGGACACCTGCTAGGCTTGGGTGTGGCCATGCTCGCTGGTGTGGAATACCCAGCATGCTGGGCAGGGACTCAAAGAGTTCTAGCCTGAGCCTAGTCTCTCCTCTGTGCCCAGAGCGGAGAATGGGACCAAGCAGGACACCTCGATGTTGCTGGAGGAAGGAGTGATCAAACGGAAGGGCTCAGGCACCCAGCAGGCCCTGCCCAGCACCACTGGGAACATGCCCTCCTTTCAAGGCCAACTCTTGGACCCTGTCTCTCAGTACAGCTCTGCTCCTCAGTCGGCATCTCCCCCAAAGCGCTCAATGCCCTCCTCCCAGGTCAGGCTCCCTGTCTGAGGCAGAGGCCACTTCAAAGCATCGTGGGCCCTCGGGCATGCCACTTGTTGTCTGTCTGGAGAGAGCAGGGCACACCCAACAGACAGAAATCCACAACTCCTGTGAGATCTCCTTGCAAACGAGGAAAGAGCCGAGAAGGACAGTCCTGGGGCCAGCCCAAGGTCACAGAGCCATCAGGAGCGGACACCCCAGAATCCCTCCAGGCAGGGGCGGACCCTGCGGGCAGCAGGAGCGAATTCTGCAAGTCAGCTGCCCCTGCAGCCCCGGGACTGGGCGCAGAGCGGGCTGGGGGCGTCGGCAAAGGCAGCGACGCGCGTTAACCTTCAAGTCCAGCCCTTCCTCCATCCCAGGCACGCGAGAAGGTGCTGTGTCAGCCGGCAGCCGCGCCAGCACCCGGGGAACTCAAGACCACACCACGGGGCAGGGGCGCGAGGAGGCTGCAGCGGCGCGCCGGGGGCCTGGGTCCGTGCTGGCGGCGGGAGTCCACCAGCTACCACGGGCCCGGCACGCGGGGCGGAGCTCTGCCCTGGGGTCCCAGCTGCAGGGACCTGGCCGCGAGGGCGCCTCCGGGTCCCGGCAGCGCGGGCACGGCGCCGGCTCTGGGTCCGACAAGCCCCGGCCCTCACCAGAAGAAGGTGTTGGTGCCGTCGTCGTAG